TGCCTGTACTTTCTTTTTTTTTTGGATAAAGTATTTATTTAAATTATCTTTATTATAATATTGCTAAAATATGTCTAAATATGCATCTACATACATGTGTAAGTTACATAGAATTGTAGGTATTCATATAACTCTGAATCTACATATAACTTCTTATGCATTTAAATCTTTTTAAAAAAATCATTTTATCGGGGGCTTGTACAACTCTTATCCCAATCCATACATACATTCATTATGTCAAGCACATTTGTACATTTGTTGCGATCATCATTCTCAAAACATTTTCTTTGTACTTTAATCATCTAGCTCGCTTTGTGATGGCGTGTGTTTGTGAATGGAAAGAGATGCTTCTCCTGATTCGAGTAGAGTACAGGAGCTGGTCTCTGTTGTAAGCCAATCAGTGAAGCGTGTGAGCCCAGCGCTGTGAGTGATGGTTGCATACTGTAGCCACATGCCTCTAGGGACACGACAGTGGTGACACTGTTAATCATGTGGTGTGATTGGAGTAAGTGGAAGAGAATGTTGTAGGCAGGATTAGTGTCCCACGCTTCAGCGTTAAGTGCCTCACGTTTGCCTCTGTGACGAGTTGATGGGAAGGTGGCACGTGCACTTGAATCGGTCGTTGATCCAGCTGCAGGGAAAGCGAGGGGCAGTTCTCATTGAGAGCGATTTGAGCGCCCGTCCTTCAGATCCCGCCATCCCCAGGTGTTGGCACTGGGGCACTCTGACTAGCAGGTTTAATCAGTGTTGCCTTCAGGGTCCATTTGCATGTGTTCATTGCCGAGATAAAGACTAGTTGTGACTGGCCCTAACTGGTGAGCGCCCTGATGGCTTAAGGGTGTTCAGTGACTGCAGCTTCACCAGGGGCCAGACCCTCAAACCGGCGGGAGGTAGGTAGGTAAGTGCTCTGGTCTGTGCGACTGAGAGGCCACTGGAACCACAGGACTGTTGCGGAGTCAGCTTAAGTCCTCCTGCGTCTCCCACTACAGCTCTCAAGAAGGTTGGGGGCTGACTTTTCTGGAACTCCCCCAGGTGGCTGAACTTTGAAAGTTGGAACTCCTACGGGAACCTGACCAGGTGTGTGTGCAGGAAGGGTCCCCAAGAAAGTCCTTAGGCGGACATCCCACGTGCCATGGACATCCCAGGTGCCATGGACATCCCACTGCCACGGCCATAGGCTCTGTGACCTTTGGAAATGGGCCTTAGGGCAGAATGTGACCGAAAGGCCCGGGATTTGCCCTGTAAAGATCAGTTGGAAAACAGGAGGCACTCCTGCGCCGCCTCCGTCCTACAGGGTCGCCGGGCACCGAAATGGACTTGGCGGTACGAAAGGACACAAGTGAATATGTGTCTAAGTTGGATCCAGAGTGCCGGTCGGTCAGAAGGAAGAGCTGGACATGACGTCTGCAGGGTCCACTGTGCAAGAAAAGTAATTGAACATGCCAGGGGGCTCCACAAGTGCCTGTAAAGTAAGGATTCGCCCAGACTGGGCTGAGGAATGGTGGCATGTGCCGAGGCCAGGAGGCAGAGCGGTGGTGGTTTGTAGCGACCGTTAGGTTCCCTGCTGCAGAGTTCCTGTCGTTGGCGCCCCATCATCTTCACGGATCCCCGCAGCCACCAGCCTTCCGGTGTTAAGAAGACCGAACACGCTGCCCTGGGCCTAGCTCGCTTGTGGTGGGGGGGCCTGTGGTATCTCCGGCTGACTCATCTCTCTGGGACTCTGGAGTAAACTACTCGGTTCCACAAACAGGCTGTGTGGATGGTGACTGAAGTCGGCGGGAGTTGCTGCAGCCACGGAGATCTCTTCAGGACCAACCACAGAACCTTCACTTTCTGGCCAGGCAACAGCCAACGGAGCGGGCAGGCTAACGTGACCACAAAGGCATGGCCGGGCTGCCTGAGGGCCAGCACTGCCCTCACAAAATGCGGGGCCTCCAACAGGCACTAGGTCTCCTGGTCTACTGAATAGGCCGCCCTCTCCAATGATTACATTTCAGGTGGGGCCAGGTAGGGTTGCTAGTTTTACCGGGAAATTTCAGTGCCCTGAAGAGAAGCTGGGTGTAATGTTGGACAGTCCATGTCCCAGGTCAGGCTGGATGAAGACTGGGGTCAAGTGGAGTCCAGTGGGCTTTGGCTGGTCTCTTATACCTTGACTGCAGGTCAGCTCTTACATCTATTTAAATTTTGTCAAGGACTGGCTCTTTCCTCTTTTGTTCTGACCAAGTAACCAGAGGACATTTCCCAGCATGTCTTGCAATTAGGTGTGACCATGCAACCAAGTGGTAGTCAGTGGGTCAGGGGCACAAGTGACCTGCCCCATTTCCAGGCTTGGGTCAGGAAAGCCTCCCATGAGTGTCCTTCTTGGCCTTTCCCCTTCGGCAGCAACTCTGGAAGTCACAGGTTGAAGGTGTCGGGGTCACAGGATGGGAGACACCTGAGTCTGTGAGTTAGCGTGTGCAGGAGAAGCACCAACCACAACTTTGGGGGTTCCTGACATAGACCTAAGCGTTGGGGGCTTGTCTGTTAACAGCGGCCAGCACTGCTTTCCCCAATACAAGTGTCCAATATGAGTTCTAATAGAAGGCGGCTTTGTTTTTATCAGCTTTTAAATCTTACACATCCTGTCGCTGTTTTGTTAACTCTGCTGAGCACTTACTCGGGCAGTGACTATCAGGCCTCTTTGTCATATACTCAACCCTCCCCTTGAGGTCTATTTGATTATCATCGCCTCTTAAAAGATGGGCTCAGAGGGGTTAAATAACTCGCCCAGGGTTACGTCGCTGGTCAGTGACAGAGCCACGATTTGCACCAGGCTGAAAAGCCCTGGCACCGTAGTGGTTACATGTTGGGCCGCTAACTAACTATGAGGTCAGCAGTTTGAAGGTGGCGTTTTTTTTACTCCTATAAAGAAGGGACAGTTCTGCCCTGTCCTATAGGATCACAGTGAGTCAGTATTGCCTCGATGGTGGTGAATGTGGTTTGGGGCTTAAGAAGCCCTGGTGTAGTGGTTGCATATTGGGCTGCTGACTACAACATCAGCAGTTTGAAACCACCAGCCACTGTGCGGGAGGAGGAAGGTGGGGCTTTCTACTCCTGTGGAGAGTTACCCAGACACCCACAGGGGCAGTTCCACCCTGCCTTACAGACTTGCTGTGAGTCAGAATCAACTCTGACCGTGAGATTTTTTAGCGTGCTGATGGAGTTCTGATTATTAGCTGTGCTGCTTAAAGCCACTTCCCTCAGAGCTGCTCTCTCCCCCTACAATGGTGTACGGCCACAGCTGCCTAACCCTCTGCAGAACTCTGAAAGACAAACAGCTTGGAGCAGTCACGGTTGCTAGGTCCGAGTAATCAGAACTGCTAGCTCGGTGACCAGGAGCCCTGGTGGCAGATTTAGTTATGCATTGGGCTGCTAACCGCAAGCTCAGCAGTTCAAAACCACCACTCTACCTGCAGGAGAAAGATGAGGCTTTCTACCCCCATAAAGATTGACAGTATCAGAAACCAACAGAGAAAAGTCTTCTTTGTCCTGTGGAGTCACACATTGAGTCGGAATGAACCCGGCAGTGCGTTGAGCTTTGTGACTGCTATTGGGCTGTTGGAGCTGGAGGAACGCGGGAACCATGGGGCCTGGCCTCAGTTATTGGTAGGTAAGTGGGAGGCCTGGCCATTTGGGTCAACAGTCTGAGCATACGTGTCTTTAGGGAAGACTTACCTGGTGCTTCTCATGAGACCGAGGCCCCTTGTGAGCTCACCCAGCACCCTGGACTTCCCCTTTGAAGCACGCCTTCGGATTGTGATTGAAATGGCTGTCGGTTGTTTGCCGCCTTGCTCGCTCACTAGAGCTGGGAGAGCAGGCGCTGCCTGCGTCTCGTGTGCTGTTGTCTTCGTTCCCCAGCGTGGATCCTGACGTGAGCGCCTGACAACCCTGTGCTTTTCGTAAACCCTTGAGACCATACTGTGAGCCGTGTCGCTGGGCACACAGCTGGCTGTCTGACGGGAGACGGGAGCGTGGGCACACGGTGGCTGCGCTGTGACGGAGCTCTGAGGACAGAGCAGCTGGGTCAGAAGGTTTGGCAGGAAGCAGGAGTGAGGGCTGAAGGAGGTCCTGGCACGGGAGAACCACTGCGGCAGGAAGCGAAGGAGTAGGCCCCTGGGATGGGGGCCTGTGGTTCCCTCATCTGTGGTTCCCTCATCTCCAAAGTGAGACCAGAGGTGGCACAAGGTGGCACTTGAACGCTGTGCCAGGCCTAGGTTCCAGGACATTGCATGGTAGGCCACCGGGGACGGATTTTACTTTAGTGATCATGGGGAGCCACAGCAGTTTCTGGACCAGGACCACGATGGTCATGACCTTGATCTAGTCCCAGTGGGGGTAGAGGAGGGGACCAGCATCGGCCAGACCCTGTGGCTTTGGGGATGGGGATTGGGAGAAGGATCCACAGAAGGAAAAGGCCCAACCCCTTCCCCTTCCCGTATAGGGCCTCTGATTCACCTCGGCTGTGCCCGGACTAAGCTGCTTGCACCTCTCACTTATCAAGGGTCGTCAGCTGGGGGCATTGTTTTGCCAAGGAACCTGAGTATCTGGCATTACACCTTCATTCTCAGGGCTGGTGACACAGCTCCCCCCTCCCCCCCCTCCCTTCTTTCCTTCTTTCATGAAGGCTTTGGCAGATTTATTCACTCCAGGCTCAAGTGTATGAAAATGCAATTATTAAACAAGTGTATGGGCCATGGCCAAGAAATCCTACTTTCCCATTGTGTGGCATTGAGACAAAGCACTTTAAAGGCAGGCGTTGTCAGCAAGACCCTTAAGTGGAAGCGGCCGACGTGATTGGGATCGACTGTGGAAAGCGGGGCTCTTCTCCTTCCAGAGGCCAGAGTCCTCCCGAGAAGGCCCATCCTCAGACGGCTCCGGGGCTGCAAGGCGGATCGTGTGGGGAAGAGGGGCCCCAGCACTGTCCCCTGTGATCCTGACACATGTCTCTCTCGCCTTCACAGAGTCCCCGCTGATCCACTGCCAGGGCAACCGCCATGTCGAGCCGGGGTGGGAAGAAGAAGGCCACCAAGACCTCGCGGTCGGCCAAGGCGGGAGTCATCTTCCCCGTGGGGCGGATGCTGCGGTACATTAAGAAAGGCCACCCCAAGTACAGGATTGGCGTGGGGGCGCCCGTCTACATGGCCGCCGTCCTGGAGTACCTGACAGGTGAGTTGGCCCGGGCACGGTAGACATCGCCACCTCCAATCATGGCAGGTCTGGGAGCACTTCAAGGGCTGACAGGACCTTTTTGTTTGTTTCTTTTACTTTGAAACAGACCTGCAGAGAAATTAAGAGACGACACCAACCGTGTTCATTTAGAGCAGTGGTTCTCAACCTTTCTGATGCCGCGACCCTTTGATACAGTTCCTCATGTGGTGGTGACACCCCCCCTGCCCCAGCCATAAAATTATTTCAGGTGCTACTTCATAACTCTAGTTTTGCTACTGTTAAAGGGGTCTTGACCCACAGGTTGAGAACCCCTGGCTTAGATTGACCAACCAGTTCTTGATAGTTTTTGCCCTGTTTGTGTTATCTCCCCCTCCCTGCCATGTGTTTTACCAGCGTTACAGAGTTTTTGGTTTACATGTTCGGTGTGGAGCCCTGGAGGCGCTGCCTGGTAAGGGTCATCTGCTAACCCCGCGGCTGACTGTTGACCCCCCGACCGCTCCTCTGGAAAAGGGGTGTCTGCTCCCACAGAGCTAGTCGCGGCACTCTTGGGGTCACCATATGTTTGAATTGACTCAGTGGCATCTTGAAGTCTTCCCGCTTGTTGCACAACACGCTCACAATGCTGTCTCGTTTCCTGACCTAGGGCTCATTCCTGAACCATTCCCGCGGGCTTCAAGAAACTCATGGAAAAGTTCCATTAGCTTTTATTTATTTCATTTTAACTTTTTTAAAAATCACAATCTGTACATACTTCCATTGTGTCAAACACATAAGTTGCCATCATCATTCTCAAAGCATTTTTTTCTACGTGAGCCCTTGATATCGGCTCCTCATTTCCCTCCCTCCGTCATGATCCATTGATAATTATAAATTTATAATCCCTCCTCATGTCTTACACCGACCACTGTCTCCCTTCACCCACTTTTCCGTTGTTCATCCCCCAGGGAGGAGGTTATATGTAGATCCATGTAATCTATTCCCCCTTTCTACCCCACCTTCCCTCCACCCTCCTGGTATCACCACTCTCACCACTGGTCCTGAGGGGTTCATCTCTCCTGGATTCCCTGTGTTTCCAGTTCCTATCTGTACTGGTGTACATCCTCTGGTCTAGCCGAATTTGTAAGGTAGAATTGAGATCATGATGGTGGCAAGGAGGAAGTATTAAAGAACTAGAGGAAAGTTGTATGTTTCATTGGTGCTATATTGCACCCTAACTGGCTTGTCTCCTCCCTGTGACCCTTCTGTAAGGCGATGTCCAGTTGCATACAGTTGGGCTTTGGGACCCCAATCTGCACTCCCTCTCATTCACAATGATATGATATTTTGTTCTTTGATGCTTGATACCTGATCCCTTCGACACCTTGTGATCACACAGACTGGTGTGCTTCTTCCGTGTGGGCTTTGTTGCTTCTCTGCTAGATGGCTGCTTGTTTATCTTCAAGCCTTTAAGACCCCAGACACTATATATATTGATAGCTGGGCACCATCAGCTTTCTTCACTACATTTGCTTATGCACCCACTTTGTCATCAGTGATCCTGTCGGGAAGGTGAGCATCACAGAATGCTGGGTTATTAGAACAAAGTGTGCTTGTGTTGAGGGAGTACTTGCGTTGAGGCACAATGTCCGTCTGCTACCTTAATACTAAACCTATAAATATATGCACATAGATCTATTTCCCTATCGATATATGTAAATATAATTACATATGTATCTGTGCCATTTCCCCATGAACTTTTTATAATCTCCTTGGAATCCGTATTTGGCTACATGGTTTGTTTAGTCTTATTTAATCTAGACTAACTACTTAAATTTAAAAAAAATTCTGTCGTGACATTGGTGGTTTTGAAGTGGCCAGACTGTGCAGAATTTTTCTTCAGCCTGGCTTTGTCTTGTGCACAGTGGACTTCAGGGTGACCGCTGCCGGAGGGGTACGCAGCCCTTGCCAGTGCACCCTGCTAAGAGGCCCGTGCTGCCTGTCGGCCGCCTTAACATGCCGGTGGTCTTCAGTGTGGCTGTTTGGGGAAGGCAGTGGCTGCCGATGTGACACGCTCCAGACCTCAGCAGCCTCCGAGGGGGATTCTGACCCCCGTCTGTGACTGCCGTGGTGGCGGTGGCGGTGAACGAGGGCCCTTCCCGTTTCTGCCCTTCCTCTGGGTTGTGTATCAGCTGGCATTCTTCTTTCAGGAGCAGCTTTCCCGTCGCCCTTCCTCCTCCGCTGCTCCTTAGTGTCAGTGTGGGTTCGTGGGCTGTTTTCTCCCCTGGCGTAGCCTGCCCCGCCCCTGTTCCTTGAGCTGACTGGACATTCCTGCGTGTCCAGGTTGGGCCCCTGGGACAGCCCCATCTGTCCCTGTGCTCCTGTTTGCACCGGCACAGGAATTGTCCCAGTCTCAGCTCAGACTCTCCTGCCACTGTCTTGGAATCAAGGCGTTTGGCCGCCGCAGCTGCTAACCACAAGGTCAGCAGTTCTAAATCACCAGCCACTTCTCAGGAACAAGACGGGGCTTTCTGCTCCGGTAAGGAGGTATGGTCTTGGAAACCCGGGGGGCAGTTGTACTCCATCCTAGAGGATCTCTGTGAGTCGGCATCGACTCCATGCAGGTTTGGGGTTTTGGTCCTGGAATCGGCTACTGTGCAGGGAGTCCTTTTCTCCGAGAACTGATCTGTGACTCCTTAACAGGCATGCTGGGTAGCATTTGGGCAGAGAGTCCAGTCCCGTTGTTAGAACTGAGGGAGCCAGGCCTCAAAGCATGAAAGGACTTGCCTGGGTCACATGCAGCCCCTAAGAGATGGAGAAGGGGCCCAGACACTGCTGTCCAGCTTTATTTGCTGTTTGTACCACATACTGCTCGATGCCCGTCAGGGGAAGTCTGTGGATGACCAGAGGGATCGCTCTAGATTCTTGCAGCCAGCAAGAGGAGACCCAGCCAGCCCAGCCAGAGAGCCTCTTCCAAGTCAGGCAGCAGCAGAGCCGGGGAACGTCTCGCTCTCCTAGGAGTCCCAGTATGGCAAGACCAACGGCCCCACCTTAGAGAGGCTTTGCGTTCTACCGAAAACATCTCTACCCACTCAGGCCGCTGTGAGTGCCAGGGGGCGTGCTTTGTGCCCAGTGAGGAAGCCGCTGTGCTGTGCAAACCCAGCTTACCCGTGCTTCCTCATGCCAGAACACCATGACACCCCTGTCCCCAGGGCTCTTGGGACACAGTCTTTAGCCTGAGGTCAATTTCAGTGTCATGTCTACCATCTAGATGCCCTTTCCGGGTTCACTGGAGTGGTAGGGCCCATCATCCTTCCATTGAATCCCAGGCCATTAAACTCGCATCTCCGCCACTCAGGGGAACAGCTCGCAAGTGGGACTTTTCTCACACAGAATCTGAGCACATAAATGACACCCACCCTACAGCGATGCTCCAGACTCTGTTGGATAGTCATTCCCCAGCCCGGCCTTGGGTCCTGGGATGCCTGGGCCATGTTGCTTGAGGATGAGGCCCAGTGGGGTGGCATCCACTGCCCCGGTGGCGGGCCGCTGAGCCCTGGAATGCGTGGACTAGATAGACCCCATGTGCAGTCTCCGTGTCAGACCAGAAAGCACACAGGAGTGAGAAGCCCTGGCTATCCGCTCTCCCCACTTAGCAGTTGTGCAAACTATGGGAGACATGTTGAAGCCACGTGGTCAAGCCCACGAGCCCAGGGTGGTAGTGGTGGTGTTGTGTGGATGAAGTGACAGGTGAGAAAGTGCTCTGAAACTTGGCCTTCCTCTTTGGTCTCATTTCCCCCTGGTTGACTGACTGCCTGTGAGAGCCCTGGACTTGTCTAGCCTCCCAGTGTGGACAAGGCTGCGGTCCGTGTGCGTGTGCGTGCACGCCCTGCGTCTCACTCTGCAGGGTCTGCTCCTCCTGTCCGCTTCTTGGACACACGCTGCACGTCCAGCTGCCCTTTTTAATGCTGCTTTTTAAAAGGTGGCCGTTCCAGGTGGTGCCGGTCAAGCTTAGGGCCTTCACCTCCAGGGGCCTGATGGCCAGTTACACAGAGCTGTCCCCTTTGCGTCCTTGTCCCGGGGAGGGCCCAGTGAAGGATTTTTCCTCTCTCTGCTCAGCCCACACTGGTGCCTGTTCACCTTCTGCCTGCAAGAGGCCCCAGGGGAAGCCACGGGGAGTCCAGGTGCTCGGGGTGCCCTGGGACTAATTGGTTCTGAATGGGGGAGTTGATACCTCCTTGGTTCCTCAGGGTCCCACGGCACCTCAGGGTGCCGTGCTCAGGGAGAGGAGGTTGGAGGCGGTCTGGGCCTCTGTATCAGCCCTGCCACCTTTTCTCCCCCACCCCACCCTGCCTTTCCGCGGTGGTGAACACACACATCACAAACGGCGTGCTGTTTCCAGTCTGCACGTGCTTGGCTCGTGTACGTGGATTATGCCCATCTAAACTCTGTGCTGACAGACTTCTTAAACCTGTCCCTGCTCGCTGAGCCCTTGGTCAAGTGGCTTCACCTGCACGCGCCATCCACACGTGCTGCCGTCAGTGGTGCTGGCGGTGACTGTGTAGTCGCTGGTTTTGCCAGAATTCCTGGAGTTTCCACTCTACTCTTGTGGCGATAAGTACTGGTGGACCTGCATCCATCAGTTTTTTGAGGCCGAAGTTAATATTTAAGGAAAAGAAGAAATGAAACTTAAAAAGGCTTCCACTCAGTCGTTAATAACGTTGCAATTCAACTGGAAAAATGTTACAGACCAATGTGTTGGTAGTACTCATAGGATCTAAGAAATAGTGTGTTTCAGCAGTTTATAGCTACGCGACCTAAGCGCCCGAGAGCAAATTTGATTACTAAACATTACCAAGGATTCTGTATGTTCTGGTACGGGTGGTCCGTGAGGGTGACACCAGCCCTGGTGACGCCACTGGGGTCCCCTAAGCACAGTGACTCCCTTCCCAAACCCCTTCCTATCTGCTTCCAAGAAACCGGCCTGCTGGTTCTTGTAACTGCTACTGTTACCCACCTCT